AAACCAGGAGCTGGTAAATCCAAAAGTTTCTGCTGTGGGGGAGCTCACCAGGCTCCTTCCATCATCACAGGATGATTTCAATTCAAAGGGAGGGCTCAGGACCATTTCTTCCTGCCCCAAGTAAGGCCAGTCAAAAAAAAAAAAAAAAAAAAATCCCAAAAGTTTGGGATTGTTCAGGGCATTTTGCAGCCAAATTGGAGCCCCTGCAAGGCCAGACATTGTCCCAGCTCCTCTCTCAGCATAACTGAGCTCCCTTCTCTGGTATTTAACCACCCTGGTGAAAATATTCTCTTTAAATAAATCAGGATTTACCTGCTTGGAGCTGGGGGCTCTCATCCCTTCACCTTCTCCCTGCTCTTGCCTCCTCGTTTTTCCTGGAGTGGTGTTGGGGGACAGCACCAGGGTGCTCTGGCAGGGCTCTGGGAGCAGCACTGGTGGGAAATGAACGTTCCTGGGCTTTCTGGAGGAGGCCTGGTCCGGGAACTTTCTCCCTGGACTTTGCAGGTGGAAATGATTCCTGCAGGACCTGTGGGGTTCCCCCTCCCTGTGAGCCCCAGGAGAGGGTTTGAAGCTGTTCCCTGGAATTCCTGGACACCAAAATCATTCCTAATCTCACACACACAGTCTGTAAGCACAGGTAGGCTGTTGGCTGGTCTGGGAAGTGTTCGCACATTCCCTGATTCACACCTGTTATAAATGTATATCATATTATTGGCTTTTTGCAAATATTATAATGAATGTTATAAGATTAGAAAATTTAGTTGTATTAATACAATTTCCTTTATTTCTGTTATTGATGAAACTTAGAAACAGTGATATAATACACATATATGTTAGGCTATAATGTGATATTAAAGCACAAACTACTTTTTGTTTATATAACCCAGAGACTGAAAAAGAAAATAGTCAGAGACCCCCCTGCATCCTAAGATTATCTTGTCCAGATGAAGACAAGCAATCCTCCAAGCCCTCCAGAGGAAAAAATGATGGGACCCGTTTTTGAAGGACATAAAACCCAGTGGCACCAAGAAGATTGATCTGTTGGGAAGGGGGGCAAGGAAAAACTAAACAGAGGAACACCAAAAATCCTAGGAAGAATGTTTGAATCATGTATGAGAATTTATGGATCTGTAGCAGGGTTCTGTTCCTAAGGGACAATCCTTTGTTAGTGAGGTGAGCTCTCTTGGCTGAATGCAGAGACAAAAAATAACACTTTATTGTTATCTCCTAATTATCTTTTTATTAAACTTTTAAATTCTATGAAAAACATGTGAACCTCCTTTTTCACACACCCGTGTTCATCAGATCTTGGAGGGAATTTCTCCCCACCTCCCAAACTTTCTGGAGACTTTTCAGTGTTTGCCCCTCACACTGGGCAGTGCCTGCTTGTCTTGGGCTGACTTTTCCTGATGTTTCAGGGCCAGCAGCTCTTCTCCTGCCATTTCAGCAGATCCCTGGGGCACCTGGCCTGGCCCAGCCACAGCAGCCTCCCCGCTCCAGGGGATTTTCCTGGCGCTTTTAACTGCGGACACGTGGAAAACAAGTGGGAGCAAGGTCAGGCTGCGTCCCAGGGAGGAATCCTTGGGAGTGAGGAGCTGCTTCTGTCCCCATCACTGCAGTGGCTTCACCTGGGGACAGTCCCCTGCCACCCCTCGCTTTTGGGGGGCTGCAGGTGGCACCTGCAACCAGGGCTGGGGCTGCAGCTCCTGCCTGTCCCGGGGCGCTGCCACTGCAAGGAGCACTCGGGGTGTTCCTGGTGGGCTTCGTGCTGCTGCCTGGGCCTTACTGGGAGCCACTGGGAGCCACTGGGAGCCACTGGGAGCCAGGCCCTGCCTGCAGTGCCCACCACACTCCCCAAAACCCTCGCGCCGGGGCATCACCCCAATTGAGTGATTTTTTGGGAGGCGATTTAGACTTTGAGAAGCCCCTGCCTGAACCCTGAGTTAGGCCAAGGAGTTCTCCAATAGATTTCTGCCTTCACGCTCCTCTCGGGGGGGTTCCTGCCGTGCAGCCGGGGGGTTTTCCCCTCGCCCCCTGTGCTGTGTCGCTGTCCCTGCAGTGTCGCTTTCACCCGCCAGGTGTGCGCAGTTGAGCCGCGCTGGCTCCGCTCCCGGGATGAGCTCAGCGCGCCCGGATTGGGAGCTGGGATCAGCTGCTCCCCTGACGTGGCGCTGACGAAGCTCCTGCATCCTCCCCTGCATCCCCCCTGCATCCCCCCGCTCCCCCCGTGGCCTCCTTTTCCAGACAAAGACGGGAAGTGCTGGCTGCGTGCGCATCCCTCCCCTCCATCATCCCCCCTCCTCCTCCTCCTCCTCCTCCTTCTTCTTCCCCCCCCTCCCTCCGTCCCTGGAAAAAACAGCTCAGCTCCTATTTCAAGAAGCTTTTGTCCTCCCAAAGAGCTTTCTCTGGGACATTTGTCATTCTTTCTCCTGCCCGTGACGGGAACACAATCGGGAGTGGGTCTCCATCTGCCGCCGGGGAAAGGGGGGTGCGCGCAAAGCACATCCCCAGCCCTTAGGGTGCTTCGTCACGGGGAATCTGGGGAGCAGGAGCGGGGGTTCGCAGGGGTTTGTGCCATGAAATGAAGCAGGAATCGGGGATTGTGCATTCCCTCTGCCGTGGGGCTCCCCCATCTCCCCGGTGCCCCCACACCGGCGGTGCCGGGCTATCCCAAATCCTGCCTCGCCACAGCCCCTGCCCAGCCTGGGCCACCCCGATGTGTCGCTTGTGCTGTCCCAGCCCTGCCAGGCTGAGTCACCGGGATGTGCTGGGAATACAGCCGCGTTTGGAGCCCCAGGGACGGGTCTTGCGATGCTTTCAGTCCCCCCATTGCTCATGGCATGAATTGTCCCAACACCTCCTCCCCTGATGCCCCCTTTTTATGCAGAAACACTGCAAAAACACCTTCTCCTCAAACCCCACTTCCCTGCCAAGCCACTGCTGCCCCTGTGCCACCCTCACTCTTCCCCTGCCACGCAGGGGGATTTCCCCCTATTTATTATATATATATGTATATATATATAAAAACAGCAATAAAACCGAGCCTCCCATCCTGGGTGTCCCATCCTGCGTGTCCTCCACTCCATTCACCCCAAGCATCACCTCAGAGCTCCAGCTCTGGGTCAGCCTCACCCTGACCCCACAAATAGCGCTGGAAAGGCATTTTTGCAGTTATATAAGTGATGTAAGTTATATAAGTTATATAAGTTATGTAAGGGCTTTCCCTGTGCAGCTTTGCAGGGCGGTGGGAGCTCGTACCCCACACCCAGCCCTGCTCTCCCCTCACAGGGCTCAGAATTCCTGCCTCAATTCCTTCGTTTCACCTCCCATCACCTCCATCAGTGCTTTATCCATCTCTCCCATGTTTTAAAACCCCTTGCTTTTCTTCCTCATCCCCTCTGCTCTTAAATTCTTACCAATTTTTTTAAAAAATCCTGAGATCCTGGATTTTTTTCATGGGTTTTTTCACTTCCTTTCCGAGTGATGTTTTGGGCCCTTTTTGAACTGATCTTGGGGGAAAAAAAGTTCACAAGATTTCCGTGGAAATTTCAGCCTCAGATCCAGCTGGATTTGAACCCTGGCCCATTCCTGCCTTGAAACGCTCAGGGAGCAGCTTGCAGGGTTTTCCATGGATCCCTTCATCCCAAAACCTCTCCCAGGGCCCACACCTGCTCACCCCATTCCAGGTTCTCCCTTTATATCCATCTTCAACCCTTTTTCCCATCCCACAAGAGAAAACACCAAGTTTCGAGTGCTCATCCTAAGGAGGAATTTAATAGAAATGAAATTTAATGAAATTTCTCAGATATCACGGCGTAGGGCAGCGGCATCAACATTTAAGGGGTGTGTGTGTGTAAAATATCTTGGTTTTAATACAAATTGCTGGCATTTTCCTGAGGATTTTGAATGTTTGTGCAGCAAGGGAAATAGAAGTGTAAAATGGAAGGAGAGGCAACCAGGGGAGCTCAGGAGGTGACAAAATTTTTAAGCAAAAAGAATTTCCAGCCTCAGATCCAGCAGGATTTGATCCTAAATGAGGTTACCCCAATTCAAAGCTGATTTCCCCCTCATATCCACCTTCAACCCTTTCTCCCATCCCACAAGAGAAAACACAAAGTTTTGGATGCTCATCCTAATGTGGAACTTCTTTAAAAAAAATTAAAATTGAAATATAAAGTTTTTTTGAAACCTGGAAAATTATATAATTGTGTGGGGCACTGGAAACAATTTTTAGGAGCTGTGGGTGTGACATACGCTGGATTTAATACAAAATACTCTCCTTTTCCTGAGGATTTTAAATGTAAGGAATACAGAAGTGTAAAAGGGGAGGGAGAGGGGAGCAGGGGAGCTCAGGGGGTGACGAGGCTGCTGAAAAATTTTAAGTAAAGAGAATTTCAGCCTCAGACCCAGCAGGATTTGGCCCTTCACTGACACAGTCCTGGCTTAAGAGCTGGATATTCAGGGATGTTCCCTTTCATCCCTAAACCTTTCCAAGGGACCACACGCGGTCACCCCATTTCAGGTGACCCCTCGTATCCATCTTTAACCCTTTTTTCCATCCCATGAGAGAAAACACCAAGTTTTGGGAGCTTATCCGAATGTGGAACTTCAAATAAATGAAATTTCATGGGTTTTTTCAAACCTGGAAAATTCTATCATGGTGTGTGGCACTGGAAATAATTTTTAGGAGATGTGTGAGTGAAATATTTAGGTTTTAATACAAAATACTGTTATTTTTTTGAGGATTTTGAAAGTAACACAGCAAGGAAAATACAAGTGTAAAATAAGCAGCGGGGAGAGGAAACCAGGAGAACTCAGTGGGTCACGAGGCTGATGAAGCTTTTTAATCAAATATTTTGGCTATCACAAGAATTTTAATCACCCAGTTAGGAAAATTTGGGGGTTTTTTTTTGCTGCCTGGAGCCTGTGGGGCTGGAGCAGGGCTGGAGAGCTCCGGGCCCATCCAGCAGCAGAGGGTGCTCACGCACTGCTGTGCAAATCCTCCTTCTCCCTCAGCCATTTTAGGGAATTATTTCCTTTCCCTGCAGTCTCCATTTTATGTTCCTGACGCAGAAAATAAAAAAGGTCAGCGCGGGGGGGAGGGAGGATGGGCTGGGGGGGATGCGGGATGTGCCGAGGGAGAGCTCGGAGGTGGATTTTGGGGAGCCAGGGCGGGATGTGCGGCTGGAGAGAGGCTGGAATACCCAGGGAGAGAGGCTGGAATACCCAGAGAGAGGGGCTGGAATACCCAGGGAGAGAGGGGCTGGAATACCCAGGGAGAGAGGGGCTGGAATACCCAGGGAGAGGGGCTGGAATACCCAGGGAGAGGGGCTGGAATACCCAGGGAGAGGGGCTGCAGGGCAGGGAGGGCAGGATTGGCACAGGGGGGAGGTGGAATTCCAGCTGGAATGCTGCTTGGAGCCCCCTGGCAGCCCCCAGGGCTGGGTGCTGCCCCCCTCCCTCCATCCCTGCATCCCTCCCCAGCACAGGATGCTGCAGCTGCCACGGTGCTTTTTTTAACCCCTGTCCCTACAGGAGGCTGAGCAGATCCCCCCGAGCTGCCTGGGAACAGGATGGAGCTCAGCTTTCAGCCCTTGCCAGGCTCCCCAGCCCAGAGGGACTTTCCTGTTTTCATTGTTCAGGACACCGAGATCCGTCCTTGTTCTTTTTTTTAAATGATTTTTTTTCCTTCCTGCTTCACGTTCGGGGTGGGGGAGGTGGTTGCCCCAGGTGTCCACGACCAACAAATCCTGGCATCAGAACCTTTCCTCGGCCATGTGGAGCATCCCAGGATCGCTGTTGAGCAATTCCTGCCATCGTCCCCATTTGTGGGAGCCTTTTTGTGCCCCTCTGAGCCCTGTGAGGAGCACAGCACATCTCTCCCTGCCTCGAGGGGTCTGAGAGCTTCCAAAGGCTTCCTGGGAATTGTCTGGGTGTTTTCCAGGCTAAGGAGTGCGGTTTAAGGGTTTGAGGAGGTTTTTTTTGTGGCATCTCATCCCTGAGAGCCGAAGCGTTGGGCCCTCACTTTTGGAGGAGTGTGCACAGCCATAATCAGTGGTGCCAGCGCATCCAACAAACTCCCAACAGCTCCAAAACCTGCCCGAGGTGTGGATTAAATACTTCCAAATTTGGGGCAGGCCCATCAGCGAACTGGACCAGAAGAGCCCTGGGAGAGCTGGCTGCTTTAGCCGAGTCTGCTCAGGCAGCGCATCCATCAGAGCCAGGGGCGAGCAGAAATCCCTCTGCCACCATCCCACCAACCTTCCGCATCCTGCTTCTCCCTGTGCCTCCTCTACACCCAGCCCAATCCCAAACTCTTTTATTCCTTTCCCAAAACCCCGATTTTGCAGCTCAGCTGAGTTTTTTTGCTCAGTTTTCACCCAGCTGCTCCATCCCCTTCCCGCGGCCACAGGCGAGGATGCTCCCGGCCGAGCAAAGAGCCACCAGCAGGTCCCCTCTGCTTCCTGGGACACTCACAGCAGCCAGAGACACTTTTCCTTTAAATATCCCCAGCTAAAGCTGCCTTTGGCTGTGATCTTGCGCCTGCCTGGATGAAAATAGGTCAGTGATTCCGTGCTGGAGCCCCAGGCGCCAGGGAGGCTCGGAGAGGCAGCCCAGCCATAGGGCAGCTCCGAGGGAGGGATGCTCGCCCTCCCCTGCCTTGTTACCGGGCAGGAGCTGCTCCAGGAGCTGCCGAGGGGGAGCAGCCCCCCCGGTTTGGCTTTCCGGGATGCTTTTCCCCCTTCCCGCCGTGCCTTTTTGGGGCTCTCCTAAAAAGGGAGGTCAGAGAGAATGATTTCATTTCTGTTAGATTGATTTCTATTTATTGAATGTTCATTTCTATTTATTAAAAAGCTTTCAGGTACATTTTGGGCAGAAAAAGCTGCTCCCGGGGGTGACACTTAAAAATTGAGAGCTTTTCACACTTTTATAGGTTTGGTGCATTTGCATATTGGGGGTGAATCTCCCAATTCCAGGTAATGAAATCATTTACCCCAAGCTTCCTCCCCCCAAAATTCACTGTTTCCATCTCTCAGGCCGGAGGCAGCGAGGTGTCCTTGATTCCCAGGCCTGGAGAGGAATTGTGTCCAAATGATTCCCAGGCCTGGAGAGGAATTGTGTCCAAACGGGGGAAGCTGACATTCTATATGGAATTTAGAGTTCTGCACCAAAGAACTGCAGGATTATATAATCCTGATTTATCCTAAATCAGGATCCTAAACCGTGCTGGGGGTGCAGATTTCGGCCTTTGTGGGCACCCCAGGATGGGCACAGCCCCCATTCCTGCTGGCTCCAGCCCAGGCTGAGGCACCGAGTTCTCTGTATTCCTGCTGGCTCCAGCCCAGGCTGAGGCACCGAGTTCTCTGTGCCCCGTCCCCCCTCTGAGGAGCGAGGGAAGGTGGGAACCTTTTCCATGTGAGATTCCCAGGAATGCTGCTGGGATTATCCAATCTCCCAGGGAAGGGCTGTCTGTGCCAGCCTCACTCCTCTGCCACACAGAGTACAGGCATTAACCAGGACAGGGAAAATTTTGGGGCTGTGGTGAAGTCGTGCATCTCTCAGCCGCTCCTCCAGAGCTTTCCTGAAGCTTTTCCCCCCATAAATTCCATAAATCCCTTGGTTTTCGGTGTCTCACACTGAGCTGGGATGTGCAGGTGGCTTTTGTGGATGTGTCAGGGTGGATTTCACCTGTGCATTCATTTAAATAAATCTCTTTTTTACAAATTTGTACAATTCCATCATCGTGTGTGGCACTGGCAATAATTTTTAAGAGTTGTGTGAGTGAAATATTCGGGTTTTAATACAAAATACTGATTTTCTTTGAGGATTTTGAATGGAACACAGCAAGGAAAACACAAGTGTAAAATAGGTGTCAGGGAGAGGCAAGCAGGAGAACTCAGGGGGTCACGAGGCTGCTGAAACCTTTTAATCAAATATTTTGGCTATCACAAGAATCTTAATCACCCAGTTAGGAAAATTTGGGGAAGGAATCCATGGATGGAGCACTTCTCCCGTGAGGGAAGGCTGAGAGAATTGGGATTGTTCAGCCTGGAGAAAAGGAGGCTCTGGAGACATCTCAGAGCCTTTTCCAGGACCTAGAAGGGCATCAGGAGACTTGGGATAAGGGATGGAGTGACAGGACAAGGGCTCACGATTTTAACTAAAATTGGGAGGGTTCAGACTGGATGTAGGGAAGAAATCCTTGCCTGGCAGGGTGGGGAGGCCCTGAGGGTGCCCAGAGCAGCTGGGGCTGCCCCTGGATCCCTGGCAGTGCCCAAGGCCAGGCTGGACAGCCTATTCTGGGGCTCTGTGAGACTTTTCCTCCAAACAGAGATCACAGCACCTTCTCCTAAGAGAAAAACTGCATTTCTCCCTGCTATTTTCCCCACTCCACTTCCCCTCCACGCTCCTTGCAGCATCTCTGCCTTTCCCCTCGTGTCGGACTGCAGGGGCCCAGCCCGGCTCACACACACAAATTTGTCCTCAGAGTCTGCTGCTTGTGCTAAACGTCAACCACAGAGGGAAAAAATCCAATTTTCAGGTTATATCTGATTATATGAAGGTGCTTTATTAAGAGCTCTGGGTGTCAGGGGTACACAGACCCAAATCTGACCCACCTTGGTTTTGAGCCGAATATGTTTTTATACTCTATTGTTATGTAACTTACATATTAATTGTGAAACTTCCCTTGTTCTATTGTATACATTGATTTACCCCAAGCATGGATTTCTCGTGATCCCACTCAAACCCCTAACATAGTTTCTCATGATTCTTTAAACAATAATTATATCAAGTCATATCTAACAATTATATAATTTATCATCTACTGACTCCACAGGTGCAGTTTCACCTGATCTTTAGCAAGCACAAGGCATAACATTTCCCTACTTTTAACACTTTTCCCAGGGCTTGCCAAGCCTGACTTTCTTTCTAAGTCCCGAATTTTCTATGATTTTAAAACCTTTTACTATCATAGGGAGGAGGAATAAATCAGAGAAAAGAGAAAAAAGCGAAAGGGAAACTCGTCAGTGGCCACCTGGGACGAGGAAGAGCAGGAGCCTCCCTCAATAATTCCTTTCCCCAGCTCCTTCTCCCACTCTTTGCAGTTTCCCATTGTCAGTCCCGAGGCTGGATTGGAGCAGGCTTTGATTAGGAGCAGATGTGGCAGCGCTAATTACCCGTGAGCTCAGCCCCGGGTGATGGTTAGGACTGGTTTTAATGACCCTTGTCCCCTATTGTTGTGTAGGAGGCTCCTGGGGTGAGGTGAGAGCACAAAGAAAGGGCAGGAAAAGGGAGAGGAGCGTTCCTAGCAGTTGTAATTAAAGGTGTAATTAACTCCCCTAATCACTTCCCAGTGTCACACGCAGCACGGGGCCGGTTTAGGATCGGGTTTAGGGATGTGTGGCTTAGGGCACTGTGGGCTCAGGGTTAGTCTTAGGCCTGGACTTGGCAGCTTTCCCAAGGAAAAGGACATTGGGAAATCTCTTCTTTCCTGCTCGGCCTGCCCCACACCCTGTCCAGGGGCTTCATTTCCAAGGTCTCCTCTCCTTCCCCATCCTGCTTCCTGAAAATGGCTTTTGGTGTGGAAAGAAAGAGAGAGAGAGAGAGACAGAGAGAGAAAGAGAAAAGAAAAAAAGAGAAAAGAAAAGATAAAATAGAAAAAAGAAAAGAAAAGAGAAAATAAAAAAAAAAAGAAGATAAAAAAGAAGAGAAAGAAAAAGAAAAAAGAAAATAAAAGAGAAAATAAAATAAATAAAATAGAAAGAAAAGAAAAGAAAAGATAAAATAAAAAAGAAAAGAGTAAAAAAGGAACGAGAGAAGAGAGGAGAAAATAAAAAAGAAAAGAGAAAAAATAAATAAAATAGAAGAATAGAGAAAATAAAAGAAAAAAAGAAAAGAGAAAATGAAACAAAAAGAAAAGAGGAGAAAAGAGGAGAAAAGAGGAGAAAAGAAAAGAGGAGAAAAGAAAAGAAAAGAGGAGAAAAGAAAAGAAAAGAGGAGAAAAGAAAAGAAAAGAGGAGAAAAGAAAAGAGGAGAAAAGAAAAGAAAAGAAAAGAAAAGAAAAGAAAAGAAAAGAAAAGAAAAGAAAAGAAAAGAAAAGAAAAGAAAAGAGGAGAAAAGAAAAGAAAAGAGGAGAAAAGAAAAGAAAAGAAAAGAAAAGAAAAGAAAAGAAAAGAAAAGAAAAGAAAAGAAAAGAAAAGAAAAGAAAAGAAAAGAAAGCTACCAGTGACTTTTCACTTCCTTGGACAGCAATTATTCCCCTTGGGCTTCTGAATTCCAGCTTTGTTCCCTAAAATTCCAGATAATCTGACTCTATTCCTGGAGGGAAGCAATTTTATCATCACATTTCGATGCAGGGAGATCTGGATGAGGGAATTTTGGATTTGATGGATATTGAAGATCCAAGCAATATTTTTCTTTCTATATATGTTCTAGAAAATCTCTGTTCCCTGCCCTTGTTCCCATTCAGAAATGCGGTTGCTTGGCTTCACACCCCCATCCTGCTTTTTTTAAAAGCAGGAAGAAGGAAGAGTTAAGAGCTCCCTATTTATCTTCCCAAAAATATCCTCAGAGGGTCTCAGTTGTCCTGGATTTTTAACAGAAATCCTGGGTTGTCCACATTGGAGAAATCTGGTGTTTGAAATGAGAAAACTCCAGTGGAAAAAGTCATTTCCTNTCAGTAGGAAAATCTCATTGTGGTTTTATTTTTCCTTTTCTGAAGCGCAAGAAGTCAAATGGAAATTGTCAGAACTAAAATAAAAAAAAATGTCTCCTGCAGAAGAATTTTCAGTTTTCCCAGTCCTGTTTAGCCTCTCTGGGGGATAATGGGGATGGGGATGGGGAGAGCAGGACGCTGTGGTTGAATCCTGACCCAGGGATGAGCCAAGACCTCAAAAGATAAATGGGGGAGTGGAAAATAAATCCAGTGCTGTTCCTAACGAGGCTGGAGAAGCACAGGGAGGATGGAACACCTTGGAAATGGCTGCTCCTGTAATTTTTTTCCCCTTTTAATTGATCAGGGTGCTATTTTTACCCACTTCAGATGCACTCAGGCTGCCCTCTGGGATGGATGATGATTCTGGCCTTGCTGATTCATCCAGCCCTGGCTGAGGATCTTTCTGGAAGCATCTCCCGTGCCCAGGTGTGTGTAACCTGTCTGGAGTTGGCACCTTGAGATTCTCCTTCCTCCTCCTCAACTCCTGGAGATCTTTATAAATCCATTCCTGGCCCTGATATTGGACCAGGCTGAGATCCCCTAACGAGGGCAGGGTTAGGCTTTTAGGAAGGTTAGGCTGGATTTTAGGAAGGTTAGATTGGATTTTAGGAAAGTTGGATTAGATTTTAGGAAAGTTGGATTAGATTTTAGGAAGGTTAGATCAGGCTCCATGCCCTGTCCAACCTGGCCTTGGGCACTGCCAGGGATCCAGGGGCAGCCCCAGCTGCTCTGGGCACCCTGTGCCAGGGCCTGCCCACCCTGCCAGGGAACAATTCCTGCCCAATATCCCATCCAGCCCTGCCATTCCCTGTGTCCTGTCCCTCCATCCCTTGTCCCCAGTCCCTCTCCAGCTCTCCTGGAGCCCCTTCAGATCCTTCAAGGGGCTCTGAGCTCTCCCTGGAGCTTCTCCTCTCCAGGTGAGCATTCCCAGCTTTCCCAGCCTGGCTCCAGAGGGGCTCCAGCCCTGGAGCATCCCCGTGGCCCCTCTGGAACCCCTCCAGCAGCTCCAGCTCCTTCCTGGGCTGGGACCCCGGGCTGGATGCTGCAGGTGGGTTCCAGGAAGAGCACCCAGAGGATTTCCAGCTCCTGCAAACTCCCGCTGCTGGCAAGGCTCCCAGTGCCTCCTGTTTTCCTGCTCAGATTTTCCTCCTGACCACGTTTCCTCACGTCCATCTCCAAAAAACACGGTCCTGGAATCAGAGGTGATCCCAGGGAGGGCAAGGTGATTGCTGGGGCTGGGGAACAGGGAGCTGGATCTTGCCAGCTCCGAGCAAAGACAATTTTAGCTCCTTGCTGAGTCTGCAAAGCCCGAGGCTGCATCCCAAAGATGCTCAGTTTGAGTGGCTGCAGCGGAAACCTTTCTCCTCTGAAAGCTGTGGCCGTGCTGGGCCGCCCGGGGAGGGAATTATTGATGGAATAACGGGATGTGATGGCTGGGAGGAAGGATGCTATTGTTCTGTCCGGGATAAAAAGCTGCTGCTGCTGCTGCTGCTGAGTCAGTGGAGGGAGGAAGGAAAGCAGGAGCAGGATGTGCAGATGCATCCGTCCCTGAGGGGGTGAAAACTCTGCTGAGTGTGTCCCCAGTGCTCTGCTCTGCCTGACCTGCTCTACTATCGACATTCAGCTCCAAACCTTGTCCAAACACACCCTAAATCACTAAATTCACCAGTAAATTTACTCAGTAAACCCAGCCCCTCCCTCCTCCCTTGTGCTGGAGCTGGGCACTCACTCCTCAGAATCTTTGTGCTCTCCAAGCTCTCAGTCTTGAAACAGCTTCAAGCAAATCTGAGGGAATCCCCTTCTTTTTTCTCACTTTGGAGACTGGTGCGTGTGTCCCAGACCAAATGACGGTAAAAGCAGCACGGGGAGAGCCTGGGGGCTGCACTGATGCTGCAGAGAGCTCGGATCTGCCTGGGAAATGCACAGGAGCATCAGTGGGATGAGTTTTGCACCCACCCCCCGTATCCAGGGGCAGGAGGAATCACATTTCCCAGGAGATCTGCTGCTGGGAATTTGCCTGGAGCAGTTAATTCTCTTTTGGGGGGGTTGTTTGGCTAGGTCTAAAGGGGGAGGATGAGCAGGGAGCTCAGAGGGGTTCTCAGAGGGTGCTGATGTCCTGATGGCTCCAGGATAGAAACTGCTCCTGATTAGAGCAAATATTTTAGGAATGTCCTTCTCTATTTTTATGATGTCTTTTATTTTTTTAAAGTTTTTTTTCCTCCAGTGTCTGCTGAGAACTTGAAGAAAATCTTACACGGGGTGAGAGGACGGATCACAGTGGAATATTCTGAACTTCCCAGCCGACACAGATAAGATAAGAGTGACAAATCTGTGGGGGGAAAAATTGACAATATCCTTTTGCTTTTATGGAGAAGAAGGTTTCAAAGAGGATGTGAGCTGTGGCAAAAGGAGGCCGTTTCCCCTTGCCCACCCTTCCCACAGGAGGTGAAAATGTCACCCCAGCACTGAGCAGATTAGGCTGGGCTCACCTTTGAGCTGCTCTGGGCAGCTGTGCCAGGCCCTCACCGCCCTCCCAGGCAAGAATTTCTTCCCAAAATCCACTTCCAGCTGCCCTGCCACGACCAGGGGCATCTTTAACCAGAGCAGATTTCTCAGAGCCCCATTGCTCAGCCCTCCCATGCTCCTCACTCCCCCTCCCAAAGAGGACTGAGCCCCTTTTGTGTGGTT